CACTTCCATTAACAACTGTGGGGGATGTGAGAAGTTAGAGCTGTCATCAATAGTGTCTCGAACTATTTAACTCTACGGGCATGTTGGCACTTTTAGTCCACATCTGGGCTTGCACGGTCTGCCTTCCTCTGTCGCAAACATTTGCCCCAGAAACCAATGGCAGCCAGGTTCCCAGCAAGGCTTTGGTGCAAACAGTTGCCTCCCCCCCGCCCTAAGCAGCGCTCCGTACAAGTACCAGAAGTTTGCAGAACGTGCTCTGAAACTAGATTTCGGTAGGTGGCCAGCTTCAGCGACGTTCCCATGGGCATCCTTGGTGGGCTAGGTTCCGAAACGTCCACTGTTGTTGACGTTCTGCTGGGGGCTGCTGCTCCAAATAGGCACGGCACAAGAATAAACATTTCCCTGTTGCAGTGGTCGCCTTTACCCGGCGCCACCCAACCGAAGCAAGTACATGCTTTGTGGGGTGGACGGAGCTGCACGACCAGCAGTTTCTTCTCACTGGCTTCCGTTGTATTTCCGTTCGTTCCTGAGTTTAGCAAAGCTGCCGCTGCAACCACTGGGCATCCGCGCCACCCAGGGGTGGATTGAAGCTGATGCCCAAGATAGCTGGGGGAGGTCCTGATGAACGAAGCCACCAGCTTTAGGCCACAAGTTCGTGATGCTTCTGACACGCCCGCGCAACACACACAATGCTTTCAGCACGCGGTGTCTAGTAGCAGCGTGGTCTAGGAGATCTGGCCCCTGTTTTCTTCATTGAATCCCGTGCTCTTGCAGGTCCTGTAAGGATCGCGGCCCGCGCCCGGAAGGACTTGCCCCCGTGCACTTGGATTTCCACGTCCCCGCCTTGGACCAGCCCGCCAGTCACTTCTCGAATCGACTTATGTGCGGGAAAAAGCATCCCACAATATGCGCCCAAATTGACGTGCCTGCAAGGACAGACCTTTCGTCAAAAGACGAGTCTCCGTCTGCTTTGATGGATCTCACCTCGTGGCCAAGTAGAACAGAGTTCCCGAGCTTCGCAGCAATCTGCAAAGGTATCGCTTGAGTTCCTCAGGGGCACGAGGCATTCCAAAGCAGCCGCTCGTAACGACATGATAGCAAACGCAAACCTGGGCAGGCATGAAACGGACGGCTTGCCTCCTCTCACGCGGTACTGCGAGTCCGCACCCTTGCTGTTGCAACCTGCAATCTATGCAGCCAGCATAGAAATTCCACAAACTAGGTGATGTCGTCGTGGCAACGGGTTCGACTACCATGGCTGCTGCTTCTCTATCCTCCTTTTCCTGTTCTTCCTCCCCCTCCTCCCCGCTAACTGACCCTAATGGCAACTTCTATTCCTGCTCAAGTTACCACCGTCACTACTACTGCTGCTACTGCGACTGC